GTTGTTGGTCGAGCTGAGCTGCTGCCAGGGCTGCTTGGAGCTTCTTAACTTGTTCCGTTGTTTCCTGCTCCCTCTCGTTGGGTGCTTTGAGTTGATCTTGAACTTTCACTTCCAGCTTGTCTATGCGGCATTGAGCACTTGTCAGCTCCTCTTGAAGGTGGGTGATGTGCTTGACGCTCAGTTTCAGCTGGGTTGTGAAGGCATAGCTTAGGGAGCTGGTGATCTTGACTAGCTCCTCGTGGTTGTTGTTCTGGCTTGAATCTTGTGTCAGGAATCTTCTCAGGATTAGGATTATTATTAAAAATAATAACAGTTCAAATGTCTTGGGGGTGAGGCTTTCTGTCATGCCTCTCAGCCAAGTGTTCACATCTTCCCCATGGGCAATGGGGTCTGCAGTCTGCGGCATGTTGGCACGCTGGGGAGAAGAGAGACTGACACAGATCTGTGTAGAGTAGAAGCCTATGTAAAGGCTTTAGCAGAGACTTCAATTTAAACAACTGTTTCGTTAGCTTAGCCACACCGTGGGGTTTGTTTACAATAGCGTCGCTGTGCTGCGCGTGCGCAGTTCAGAGTTGCTTCGGAAGTAGGTTAAGACTTCCGTGTCACCACTGTACAAATAACAACACCGCTTTTGGTTGGTTTTGCGATGTGGCGCTTAAACTCTCAGTTCGTTTGGAGTTAAATTTAACTTTATTCAAAAAACAGCTTCGTGCTGCAGTTAAGGGAAACAGTGATAATCTTATTCTTAGACAAATCTTAGATTGTCTGATTCGGTCTGATACCCTACATTGATAATAAGAAATGTTTCTTGAGCACCAAATCAAAATATTAGAATGATTTCTGAAGACTGGCATAATGATGCTGAAAAATCAGCTTTACATCACAGGAATAATTTACATTTTAAAATATGTTAAATATATAGAAAACTACTTTTACTAAATTCTCCAGCAGGGGTGCTATGAACAAACAAATGTACATGCTATTGTAAAATCTTCTTGAGTGCACATAAACTATCATCAGCTCAGACCCATTTACAAACACACTTGGATGTGATTCCTTAATGCTAGTTCAGATAACTGCTTTCATTCCAAACTGATGTCAAAAGGACTTGTGTCTGCACACTAAAACGCTTCTTTGCTCTATGTACATAGACGATTCATCCCAAGCCCCCTGCAAAACACCCTCATCCTCCAGCTGGGAACGATGTAGCTCTTCTGAAGGTACTTTTCTCTAACTGTCTGCATTCACTTGGTTACTTCAGTTATTATAGTCATCAAGCATAGCGTTAGTTCTGGCAGGTCACGTTAGTCAAGCTCGCATCAGCTGACTCTCAGCTGATCCCCATCTACCTATAGGAATACGACACCTATCTAAGCATTCATATATAAGGTCCCTCAGTATTATCAGCAGTTTTCGCATTGCTCAATAACTAATTACCCTGCTCCATCCCCAGCTCCTCCTCTGTCAGTCAGGATTCAGCCTTCTGATTCTCCTTTGAATCAGACTAATTCTAAAATGTGTACATAAAATTATTGAACTTTAACGATATCTGCAATACATTTATGTTGGTTCTGTTCTGTTTACCCTGGGGGGGGTTATCGCTGCTCTCCCTGCTCTCATCCATGCTAGGCTGCATGGATGCGCAGGGAGTTCTTGCCCAGAACAGAACCATACCGCCAACTGTATGCTAATTGTCAATCATCTTTGACGATACTAGTGGTCCTGACAGAATTGCAGGTGTTCAAGCATGTCAAGCAAACACAGCAGCATTAATCACTCAAGTTTGTAGCTGCTGAATTCATTAATTCGATTTGATCTAGAGGAGCACAGGCGAATTTATTGAGTGCTCTTTGCCTTGGAGTGCAGTGTATTTGTTTGAGTGTGTGTGTGCTGGGCCATAGAAATCATCAGAATCCAACCTGCTCTCTCTTTCAGCCTCTCAAAGGAGTCCATCGGTGCCCTCCGACCCCTCGCAGAGATCAGTCGAGAGCCTTTTCTCCGCCAGGTGGGTGTAGACAGAGGGAACGAGAAGGGGGAAAGAGCAAACAACATCCAAAAATCAAGTTACACTATTAAAAACACTGTAATTCACAGAACACAAATGAATAATTCAGCAGTTTGCGTCGCTCCTGCGCCATTGTTTTAAATCATGAGTCGAATTTGCATTTTGATTGATTTTGGTAGTCTGTTGGGTGCATGTAATGAGTTCAACTCTCAGAGAAGACAGACATTCATTAGTCATTAAAAAAATTTAAAGACAGAAGATGCATAGACTGACAATACAACAAATTTGCACAGGTATTTAGGCGATTTTGTAATCATTTTGTTGTTATATTTTGTTGTGAAGTACATAATGCTTTGTTACAATTAAATGAATCAGTGTGACAATTATCTCCTGGCAAGTGTTTGCTCTCTTGACGTCAAAGGTTTTGCTATTAGCATTTTCCTTTTAGAAAAATTAGTCTAAACTTATTGAGTATGAAGTGAAGGATACTCCAGCCTGAAGAAGTGTGAAAATGAAAGGATGTTAGTCACAACCACTCAGTTTCAGTTTTAATTAACGCTTGGCTTTAAGAAACACTGACATCATATGCAGAGGGTAAATTAACTGCAGGGTGAATACTGTATCACTGAATACTATAGGCTTAGCTCATGAATATTAATGAATATTAATTAGGACATGCACCAATGGTTTTACATGATCTAAATAAATAGTTTATGTAATGTATTAATCTTTGATAACTAATTGGTTCAAATCCGGCCTGGATTATATCCTAATCCCATTCAAATTCCTATATTTTAAGTACATAAAAACAAAACGTAAAACAAAAGATAGATGGTACTCCAGACCCCAAAATAAACACTTCCCTTTCGTGTCTGGAATCTCTTTCGCAGTTTTACCTCTCGCTGTCACTTGAAAGGTCAGCCTAACTAATGACCAAAACGTGAGGAGCGGCGCTATCAGGGATGTGTACACACCCCGCAAATTAAAGGATGTGAAGGGGCAGATTTAATTAAGAAAAAGCACTTTAGACGTGTCTGTGCATTTAATGACGACAGTGAGGCACCGGAGTAAAAGGTGTTTCTTTTTGCCTCCAGCAAGCTGAGCCTGAGCAGGACACGTCTCCTGACGAAAGCCGCCAGGGGCTTCATGAGCCGGTCGCAGAGCAAAATCAGCAACTCAGTGGGAGAGAGTGAAAATGACAACAAGGACTACATCCCTCTGGTTTCTGTCGCCATATTCTGCTTTCAGGATGTTGTTGCTCTGTGGTGTCAGTAGAACATACATTTGAAGTCAACATGAAATTGAAATTGCCCCTATTAAAGGAGTGGTTGATTGCGATTTCACTTTTTTAACTTTAGTTAGTGTGTAATGTTGCTGTTTGAGCATAAACAATATCTGTAAAGTTACGGTGCTGAAAGTTCAATGGAAACGGAGATATTGTCTTTTAAAGAAAAGTCTGTTTAATGCCTACAATTACGACTGGTACTAGGGACTACAACAAGCTACTTCCCGGGTTGGTGACATCACAAACCCTGAAATTAACATAAACCCCACCTCCGGGAACACGCAACAAAGGGGGCGAGGCTATGTTGCGCGGCTTTTCCACTGGAGCACATGCAACTATTGCCCATAATGGTAAAGGGCATGACGTTTCCGGACAACGTGCAATACGCGGTTAGCGAATCACAATACACTGGGCCAACTAACCAATCTGAGCCCACTGTGTATTTAGGAGGAAGTGGTATCATAGAAACAGGAAGTCAACCGGCCATTCAAATGACAATGGAGACAGTGGCGTAGAATAAAGGTAAAATATAAGAAATTAATTGCACATTTTTTCGGAAATTAATCGCGATTGCAATATTTTCACATTCAATTTTCAAATGAATGTAGAAACAACATAAAGATAGTATATTTTTAATATTTGTTTAATGGCACCGTTTTTATGACTGAAGACAAGTATCACTGATACCAATACTACTGATGTCTCTAGGAAATTGTTCTCGTTTTCCTAATATTTAACCACTTACTATAGCCATTCAACATCACCGTATAATTGAGAGCTATCAAGTTTAACATTTATTAGACTTTGAAAAATAACTACTTCTAATTTAAGTGAACTTAAAACAATCTTCACATAAACCCATTATAATTAATGTCATATTTAGCTACCTGTGCCCAGCAAGTAGGAAAAATACAGCAACCGAATAAAGTTATCAAACACTAAATTCTAAAGTGAATATAGATGAATCCTTAAAGCTACAACAATTATTGATTTCCTCTATTTTCTTTTGTTCTTTGATTAACAGACATCACAGCAGCTGGGTTATTTGGTTGTTTGGCTGCTATTACTTTAAGAGCTGCCGCTGCTGAACTTGACGCAGATCTGACATGCATTGTATTTTCAAAGTGTGCGCTGCCGCATTTGTGCGTGCAATTGCACAGCACGCTGTACAAGCACAGTATAACGGCTGACAGGACAGGAAAATTCGTTTTTACTGACATCTGGCCTGACAAAATCTCATCTGACGCTCTTAGTCACCTGTACTGTTTCTGCGCTCGTTTGACTAGCGCCTGGAGCTGAGGTGAAGTGGAGTGCGCGTCTGAAAAGTCTCCCTTTTGATGTGGTCATAAAGACATTCTGCATCTAAATAAACACAATTCTTGTCAAGAAAAAAAGAGACAGAAGCAGCAGTGGGGTGGCCCAACCCCCTGCGTTAACTGAGTTAAATATGGTAATGATATTTTATTAAGAAAGTTCGGGAGGAGCACGCTCAGATAATTAATCTAATTAACACGAGAGGAGCTAAATCAGTAATCAACCCAATTAACAAGATAAGAGGTGTACTGTATATATACACAGCAGACTTACCTCTGTTCCTTGACAGTTTTCCAGCATCCCTCCATCACCCCATCTCCTCACTTAAAACTATTCCTATCCTAACGTGAGGGGGGAGGTTATACTCTGGGTTCAGGCCAAAATTCCGAGCTCGGAGGCCTCCCCTTTGGACAGTACGCCAAATACGCATAACCTTTACTCTGTTTATTACATGTAAGTGTGAACTTGTGAAATATTTTTAATGCCGTTAAGATACATTACTATTATATATATGCATTTATTTTTATTTTTTTCATTGTGGAAGTAAATGAGTTTCATGTTGACTTCAATAGCGTGTATTGCATCCACTCGCCTCATAACCTATAAATAGCCGGTCAATACTCACCCTTCACACAAAGGCAGTCTTCTTTACGTATAGTGAGTAATAGATCTGTTGACATTTAACAAGCACCGATCAATATCTCATAATCGCTAAGTCTGGTTAAATGAGATGTACTATTTTGGTCTATATTGGTCATGGCAATTACTCAAAGTAAACGGTGATGAGGCGTAACAAAATCAGTAGAGTGTATTTTTAAGGCTAATGTAATTGACAATGCCTAAAGACCTTAAATGGCTCATTGAAGTTCCGTCTCTGAGCTTGTTTATATGTTTGAGCACTGATTAAGTAGACATTATGGTTTCTACTTCCTGTTGCAGGTGTCATTGCAGCTGTCCTGTGGGGCGTTCATGTTGGACAGTGCCTTGTGTGATGCCATCAATGTGCCCATGGACAAGCTGAAGTGGACGTCGCCCTTCACCAGCCACAGACTCAGCCTTACTCATGTGTCCCACTCCGGCTCCCGCCGCTCCGAGAGTCTGGAGGTCCACCACGGCTCCTCGCCTCCTCCAAAAGACTCAGACTTCAACTCTGAATGCGAGGAGGTGGTATCCCGCACGTCTTCTTCCTCATTCCAGGCCCGAAGCCCTCGGATGGAGGGCAAGCCTTCGTTGTTGAGCGGCTTCTCGTCGATGTCGACCGAAGCCCCTCCATCACCTGTCAACTCTTTGTATGACAGCGGACGGGGGTCTGAGTCTGAAATCGCGGAGACGCCCCTGCCGGGTTCGCCCGGGATCCTGCGAAGGGCCGTGCAAGACCCCGAGGGGATGGTGTGGGCGACTGCTGTTGCTCTGGCCTGGCTGGAACACAGTTCGGCCAGTTATTTCATCGAGTGGGAGATGATCGCCGCCAAGGCCAGCATGTGGCTAGATGAACAGATCATCCCAGAGGGCCGAGACCTGGCGTCGGTCAAAGCCACGGCCAATCAACTCTTCATCATCCTCAGACACTGGGACGAAAACCTGCAGCTCAACATGCTCTGCTACAACCCCAATAGCGTGTGAGGCCTGATAGGGTAGGGACAAAACTTCAAACTATGCGAAACGAGGGTTTTACTCGCCTTGAGTTGTTTTAATGTTTATTCTGTGGGTTTCGTTTTAGTTTTATGAATAGAAATCGTACCAGTATTTCATCCGCCGAAGGCCAGAAACATACTCTGCACAGGTACGTAGACGCCAATGTATTGCAAGCTTCCTATAGTATATATGTAACTTGTTTTCTTGCATTACTGTAGCAGTAACAAACTTGTAAAAGACTGTATCTGTCTCCTATTGAAAAAATATTACAGGAAGTAAAAAAATTACTCACAGTTGTGAGGAAAGTTATAGTTGTAAGAAATAGATGCAACTCAGTGTTATTTTAGTATTATTTATACTGTATACAGTATTATTACGGTTTTTATTAGGATTTTATATTAGTTAATTTTTATGTTTTATTTTTTATTTAAATTGTACATTTTGTTTAATTTTTAGTCATTTTAATTTTAGTATTTTTTGTGTTTTTTTTTTATCTTACTATTTAGGTTTCATTTATTTTTATCTCCGTTAGTTGCCAACATTTGTAATTTTTCTTTAGTTTACATTTTACATCTAATTTTTATTTTATTTTATATTTTATTTGATTAATTTAGCTTTATTTCAATGAACAAAAATGTTTTTAAAAGTTTTTAGTTTTAGTTAATAATAATAATAACCCTGTTGCGACAACAAGAAATAGTCACAATTGTGTGATAAAGTTAAGAGAAACAAAGTTGCAATTGTGAGATATTAAGTCAAAATGATCAGATATTGTTTCAGTTACGAAAAATTTTAAAATAGTCAAAATTGTAAAATAAAAAGGTACAATTACAAGAAATAAAGTCACAATTCTTATTATAATTTTTGCATTCTGAGGTGGAAACAGGCTTGCGCACAAACTTCAGTAATTGAGAGGGAATATTGCTTTATTGTTTAATATTTGTACTATTAATTCAATCACTGTTTTATTAATTTGGAAGTAACTAGGAATTAATGGGTGTAAATAGGTGCAATAGCACCCCTTGTGGCAACCTTGACAATGCAACTCGTACTTGTTGAATTCTGAATCGACACATTATAAAACTGTGAAATCGAGTTCGCATGCTGTAGCTAGAAGTGTTTGCGTTCACATATTTGCGTAGAGTATATTCTGGGCCAAACACCACCTAAAAAATTCGCATGTCTTTGCAAGATTGTTCGTATTTTTTATATCGTCTCTGAAATAATGACGTGCATATGGTTTAATAAACTGTCTGGTTGCTGCTTTGGAAGATTTTGTACCATAAACATTAATCGTACGAAGCCTTATAGTGACTTGTTCATTAGTTTGCGTGGTTGACTGCTACTGTATATGTGGCATTACAGGCTGTTTTAGCTGTCAAGAGGATCCAGTGACTTATAAGATGCAGATACATGTATAACATCATGCAATGTACATTCGTTTGCCTTTACGATCGTTAAAGATGTCAAATCGTCGCTGGAACGACACTTTCGATTGCTGTAAGTGCTCTCCAGTCTTAAGTGCCTAACCCTGCAGAACTTTCTGGACTGTTGATATGAACGTTGTACTGTTACCGCAATGCGTAATTGATTATTTTTTAATTTTGCTGATTATATTTATCGCTGTGTATGTATTATTATAGTACTTTGTTGATGTCAGTTCAAATATTGTACAGAAAAATTCTCAAAGATTGGCTGTAAATATATGTTTAAAAAAGTAGCCTAAATGAGAAAATGCAGAAGCTAGTGTATCTCTCGGTATATCGCACTGGTTTATTTCATTATCCTACGTATTACTCCTCAGGTATTGGTCTTGAGTACTGTTGTCTAAGTAGATAAAAGTGGTTTGTGGAAAGATTCTTTTCAGATCCAACCTCTCTTATGCTCTTGTGACGGTGGCAGCTGGTTTGTGAAAAGTGCATTACGTCAGTCAGTTGTACTTTGTACTTAAGTGTCGAATTCTCTTCAAGTCATGTGTACTTGCTAGTGCAATGCTGGACTGTGTAACTGCATGTAATAAAGTTAATTGGATGAAAAATTGGGTCGCTTTATTCCCACTATATAGGACAAAAATAGGACGTCATGCAGTTTCGTTGTGTATTGATGGTTTTGGATGTCATAATAGTGACTGAGTTTTATGCAAATATGCAATATGTAATGATGATGCAATGCAGTCTACCTAGCAACTTACATCAATTTAAAGGAATAAGTCAAAAATGACTATCGTCATCATTTATTCAGCCTCATGTTGTTCTAAACAGGGTTATTCTAGTGAAATAAAACGTAATCCATAAAAATGTTTTACTTATAAAATAAAGTAAAAATGAACTAAATATATTTTATTTCTGCTAGTTGCCAATGCAACATTTCTCATTTTCATTTAAACTGAAAATTATATAAACATAAAAAAACAATAAAAATTACAAACATGAACTGAAATAAAGTTTAAGTTTTGTATATTTTATTTCAACTTACAAGGCTTATTTCAGCTGTCTAATACTAATACAACTAAAACTAATAATAATATGAATAATAAAAAAATAAATAAAATTAAATTGAAAATGGAAAATAAAAAAAGTAAAACTAATTCAATTAATAAAAAACTAATTCAAAATATTAATAAAAGCTATAATAGTATCTCGATATTAAAATAACACTGGTTTTGAAAAATGCTGGTAACCAAATGGTTTCAGGTCCCATTGACTTCCATAACATGAACAAAAAACATATGGAAGTCACTGGGACCCAAAGCTGTTTGGTTACCCACATTCTTCAAAATAATTATCTTCCTTTGTGTTCAGCAGAAGACAGAAATGCATATCAGTTTGGAACGACATGAGGGTGAGAAAATGCTGACAGAATTGTAATTTTTGGGTGAACTATTCCTTTAAAATTCATCTGTATTATATTAACTTTCTTAGACTGGCAGTTTTGACAACATAGGTATTGTAGCAGGTTGTGGAGCTGCATTGTAGAGCTTTTTTTCCCCTTTTTGTCGTGCCTCTAACCTCACCAAAGGCAATACTTTTTGCAGCCAGTAGATGTTGCACCACACTTTCAAAATCAAGAAAGAAAGGGTGCTGTTTTTGTCAGATTGCCGCATTTACAAACCGTACGACAGCTTGTTTCTGCTCTGTTCTCTCTCTTTCTCTCAGTAACACTTTGTAAAGTTTAAGCCTATTAGTCAGGCATTCATCAGGGAATTACACTGCAACTATAGCTGTCATCATGTTTGTGCAGCTCAAAACAATGAAATCTAGTGTCTCTTTGTTACTTGTGAAATCTCGCTCTTTTATGAGTCATGTCTGTCCTGCAGCGTACGCCCCCATTTAATTATATCAGTTACCACCCAGTGCAGTAAAAATGGCTTCAGACATAAAGTCAGTATCAAAGAAAGGATTGTGATAGCTTACTTTTGATGATGCTAATAATGCACGATGGCTAAAGAGAAAGAGAGAAAGTGTGAGAGGGCTGTAATTAGGGTTGGGAACCATATTTTCCCCAATCTATTATTTAAAAAACACCAGAACCAAATGATTTTTAAAGACATTTGACTATGCTAATGGTTGAATCTTGAATGTTTAGCATCATACTAAAATACTGAGAGTGTTTCTTGGATTCACAGTGCTGCCAGTGAATCCATGAAGCCTGACACATGAAATACATTTTTTTTTTTTAAATGGAAGAGTTTTATGATCAAATCTCTATAGTTTTAATTGTAGGGGCAAACATATGCAGTGCAATACAGTGATGAATGAACAAATACCAACACCTTTCTCAAAACACTGTTGTATCATTTTGGATACTTACGTTTTAAAATGATTTTTATATAAAATAAATAATGTATGCAGTGTGTGCCGGTCCTAGACTTCTGAGGGCCCTAAGCAAAACTTTGGGGGTCCCTGTCAGTGTGTTCATTTATCTAATATACTGACAAACATTCGATTACTTTCCCAACTGTTTGTTCACTTGAGACATAATTATCTGTGTTTAAAGGGATAGTTCACCCAAAAATGAAAATTCCATCAGGACCACTATCGTCAAAATGATTGACACTTAGCATACAGTTTAGTTTGGCAGTATGGTTCTGTTCTGGGCAAAAACTCCCTGCCCATCCATGCAGCCTGTCATGAATGAGCAGGGAGAGCAGCAATAATAACCCCCTTACTGTATGGTAAGCAGAACAGAACAAAGCAGATATCATTAATGCACTTAATGATGTGTAACATGTTATTCAAGATAAAAGGAGTCTGAATAAACGAGGAATAGCAGAAAGCCAAGTCCTGACTGTGGTGAAAGGAGGAGCTGGGGATGGAGGAGGGTAATTTGCTCCTGAGCAAGTGAAAAAGCTGCTGAATAATACTGAATAGAGCTTATATATGAATGTCGTGATAGGTGTCGTATTCCTATAGCTAGATGTGATCAGTTGAGTCAGCCGATGCAAGCTTAACTCACGTGACCTGCCAGAACTTATGCTATATGCTTATTTTCTGTCCTTAATTACTCATGTTGTTTCAAACCCGTAAGACCTTTGTTCATCTTCGGAACACAGTTTAAGATATTCTTGATAAAATCCGAGAGCATTCTGACCCTGCATAGACAGCAACGTGACTGAAATGTTCAAGGCCCAGAAACGTAGTAAGGACAATGGTAAAACAGTCCAAGTGACATCAGTGGTACATAATTTTACAAAGCTGTGAGAATACTTTTTGTCTGCAATGAAAACAAAAATAACAACTTTATCCAACAATTCTTCTCCTCCAAATCACATGTACCTCTGAGCCTTGTTTACGTGCAGAGGAAAGCACACACATGCACACTTTGAGAGTACACAAAGTGGTACTCTCGATAATAGCGTGATTTGGAGGAGAAGAATTGTTGAATAAAGTCATTACATTTGTTTTCTTTGCACGTTTCTGGGTCTGGGAACATTTCAGTTCTATTGCTGTCTATGCAGGGTCAGAGAGTTCTTGGAAGGGTTATAGGCTAGCACGCCACTATAAATAAAAGAAACAATGTGGCATGGTGTTAATTGTTGAAAGAAAAAAAATCAAAAGCAGAACTAAAATTCTATTAATTGCACAGCTCTAGTCATTAAATCATCTTTGAGAGCAAGGGGCCCCCTGGTGTTTCAGGTGCCCAATGCAACTTGTGTACTTCGAGTATATGGATGACCGGCACTAATGACCGGTATAATCAATTAAACAGTAAAAGATGCTTCAGTCCACAGTATTTCAGGTTTTTCAGCAAAGTTGTGATTATGTT